CCCCAATGTGTCAGTCCGGGTAGACTAGAGAAACAAATCCAGGGAGACTCATATGTGTATACAAAAGAGCTTTATACACAAGGGCAGTTGAATATTGAGAAAACATCCCAACCCAGTCCAGAACAAGTCCCTAAGTCTGATATTAGCCCATATGTCCCATACCAATCTATAAATTCCTCTTCAGACTCGTACAATACATGCAATGATGCCAAATGCAGGAAGATCACAGGCCAGTGGGTGGAAAGTTTTCTGGATCCAGTGGCAGTGGAAGCATCTCAGCGCTGACAGGGGTCTCCATTTGGCTCCTCCAGCTCCAGGGCTCCATCGTAGCTCCATGTATCTTCTCAACAGGAATGTCTTCTAGGGAGTGAGCCTGTGTCCTGCCTCCCATGAGCTATTATCTCCCTAGCGCCTCCAAATGAGGTCATCAACCTGATTGACAGGCTAAACTCCACCCCTTCGCTCTTACATCTCAAATTGACAACAGATTATGTAACTACCACACCCCATAAGATCAAAAGAGCAGCATTTACCCAAGGACAAAAGTCAGGGGCTTGGGACTAATGGAGGAATGGGAGAAACAAAGCACGGGGAAGAAGTGGGATAAGTAATTTTACATCGAGGGGATTGCAATGGATGAGTTGAAACAAAAGGTGTATGAATTGTTTAATGTAAAATTGATCATCTCCTCTGTAAACCTTCACCTAATTCACACCTAATTTTTTTTAAAGATGAAGACTTTTTTGGTATGCCAAAAACAGTTTTATAACCTTCTGGAGAGCCCTGGTAGCATAGTAGTTACGCACTGGGGCGTTATTTGCCAGGTGAGCAGTTTGAAACCACAGCTGCTCCGCAGGAGAAAGAAGGGGCTTTGTACTCCTGTAAGAGTTGCAGTCTTGGAAACGCAAAGGAACAGTTCTGCCCTGTCATGTAGTGTTGTTAATAGTCAGCATCGGGTCACTGGCAGTGAGTTGGGTTTTTTTATAACCTGAGCTGACCTCGCTGCCTTGAATTACCTGGCCAAGTAGATACTCTTGGAAGTTACTGATTTGGTTGTACCTTTTTTCCTAAACATACCCCTATGAGACTAAGACAAGTGTTATTACTGAGAGAACTTGTTCTTAGCCATCAGTGGATCACACAAACATGTTAAAACATATTTTGTTTAAATAAGTTAATGCATATCTAAACTGTAACCCTAGCAATACATTTTGACTTAGTATAATATTGCATTTTATAGGCTTCATCTCAGCTTTCTTCTTTGGAATTCAAACTTGAAATTTGTATGTGAATGAAAGCAGAAGTAATTTTAGCAGCTAATGCTACTTTAAGCAAAGTAAAATTGACTGTGTCCAGAATAATGTTGCAATAGTTTTCACTGTATGTGTGGATTTAAAAGATCCCCAAATAAAGAATTCAGAACACTATTAAGTGTTAAGTCAGAAATAGAACCTATTAAAAGCTAGATTTGTAATCACTTAAATTTAAAGACAGTGCAGAAAAGAGCACACATAATCTCCCTGCCATCGAGTCAGTGCTGACTCATAGTGCCCCTGTGGGTTTTAGTCAAATACTAACCTTTGCTAGCTAGCTCCTTACCATTTTTGTGCTTCATTTTCCCATTTCCATGTTTTTATATCTTAGGCTTAGATTAATGAATGAAAAGTAGTTGTAAATAAACTGAAAAATTAGTTGTGTCCATTTTCAGGAGCTATCTGAATCTATTGATTGTTTTACTTCCAAATGTTAACTTAATTTCTTATTGTCAGACCGCTTATAACATCAATCACACATGAAGATGGGTTTTCTGTTTTCTTTTTAAAAAATATTAAGACCATATTCATTCAAGACCTTTTTATGTATTAGAGAGCGGGCACACGAGTGTGTCCAGGTGGTAGAACAGATAAGTGCTTCACTGCCAACCAAAAGGTTACTGGTTCAAACCCACCTGGCCAGTCGGTGGGGAGAAGGCCTAGCTGTCTGCTTTCAAGAAAACCCTGTGGTGCACAATTCTACTCTTGTCAGATGGGGTCCCTCTCAGTCTGAATGGACTCAATGACACCCAGCAACAGCAGCACCCTGGGACACCCAATGCCCAAATACATGTATGTAATATATATCCATATTTCATAAGTATATCACCCATATTTAAAACATTTTTGTAATCTTGTTTTAGATCTGAGATGCACAATAAAACAGTAAGTCAGAGGTTTGGCCTGCTTCTGGAGTCCTATTGCCGTGCCTGTGGGATGTACTTGAAGCACCTGAACAGACAAGTCGAGGCTATGGAGAAGCTCATTAACTTAACAGACATCCTCAAGCAGGAGAAGAAGGATGAAACACAAAAGGTTTGTGACTTGTTAGTTTGTTTTGCATACTCTCGTGATTTTTAACAGGTTTTTTTCTGTTTTGTTTTTTAAATCAATTTATTGGGGCTCATACAATTCATCACAATACATAGATCAATTGTGTAAAGCACATCTATACATTTGTTGCCCTCATCATT